CGCTGACGGGGCTCTTCGCTCTTGGTTTACAAGTCTCACTCAAGTGTAACCTGTGAGCCCTTGTGAAGCAGGAGTAAGCTCGTCGAGCCAACATGGTAAAACCTGTCACTTCCTGTAAGCTCACGAAACGGCTTGGGTCGACACGTCGATGGGAAGTAGCTAAAGTGCCCCCCCCCCTCCCGTCTCCGAACTGCCCCAAAACCCCCTCTATTGAATGCATCCATTAACAGTAAGAGGTGCAAGAGAGGAGATCGTGAGATAGTGTGCGCTCTACACGGTACACTACTAGCCAGAAGGGAAATAATCGTGAAAGGCAAGATGGGCGTCACAGTGTTTTAGAGGGGCCATGTGGCGCCGCACCCAGTCCCGGTCCTCCGCGTTTTCTTTTTGGGGTGTGATCCATTCCTCAGCTCAAATTCGGTCTCAGAAGGGTGCAGAGGCCAGAACAAGCGTGGCCTTGTTTAACCATAAATGTTTCGAAAAAGCATCCATCTACTAACAAAGCCTGTTTCAACACATTTCATGACAGAATTTGGGGGCCTATTTTATCTTTCTTGGACGACTTTTTTCTGGGACCTGTTCCGGCAAATGCTCCAGTTTTGAATATGGCTTATTTAGGCATCCGGTGCTTCGCCAATGGCCAATCCTTTGTTTGGCGGAGATCTTTCTGCAGGAGGTCCTCAGGTAAGTTTTTGTTGTCGATGGTATGCAGTTCAGTAGAAAAAGGGTTTCCTTGTGCTATCTAAGCTAGCCAGTATTTGTAGGCCATGGCTCAACAAATGATGAATAACCCGGAGATGATGCGTCAAATGATGGATAATCCTATTATGCAGAACATTATGGGAAATCCTGAAATATTTCGTTCACTGCTTGCTAATAACCCTCAAATTCAGCAACTTATCGAGGTTGGCCAAGCAACACCTTGACGTTTTTCTGGGCCCTTTTCGGCAACCAGCGTTTTTGAAGGTGTCTTTAAATACGCTTGGATAAGTTTTCATGTTTAAGCGTAACCCTGAGCTTGGACACGTCCTAAACGATCCGGATATGATGCGACAAACGATGGAAATGATTCGTAATCCCAACATGTTCCAAGAAATGATGCGCAATCATGACCTCGCGATTCGCAACCTTCAGGTTGGCTCTATTTTTTCTTAACCTCTCATTCCGTATTCCTGTATCGAAGTTTTGATCCGTGCGAGAATAGACCAGAGTGTAGGACCCTCCTTCTCTCTAATTTTAGGCGCTGAGTGACACGGTCTAACGCCTCAAGAATGCTAGGTTATGGGCAAAAGTCTGGCCGTAGGTGGGTCTCGAACCCTCCCGAATTCCGGTCAAAACGTGCTTTCCGGGAAACGTTCGGAACATTACAGGACTCTTGAAGCAAGAGAGGACCAGTTGACAGATGGTTTGTAACCCCAAGGCCACGGCACATCTATGGTTGAAGATTTGGTCGAGGCCGTACAATCCCTCCCCAAGGGTGGCTTGATCCGACCCCACCGTTTCCTCCTCTGATACGATCGAGATGTCGAGCAGGTGCACAGCGCATTGAAAGGAGAAAAACTGCGAGGAAAATGCAACTCGCCCTCTCCATTCTCCCTACAACTTCCTTGGATTTTCCCTACTTCCTACTAGTTTTTCTTGGATTTCCCGAGGATTTTCCTACTTCATCCCCAAAATTTCACTGCCGATCGGAGGAGGGGGGGGGGTGCAATGCAAGGAGGTAAGATCCATCTTGTGAATTTTTCTCAGGAGGAAAAATGCAACCCTCAACAACAAGCGAGTATGACCCGTTATAGCATCCGTGAAACAGGAGCAGTCGACTACAAAAAAAGAATGTTCTCACGTCAGACTGAATAGGACCACCCATGTTGGGGAATGCCCAACGATGATGGGCTCCTGTATTTCCTTGTTAGTTAACACTGCACCGTATTTTCCGCGCTCCTTTCCCGCTCTCACTGCACCTCGCATATGCTGTGTTGCAACCCTAGTTCTTCGCTAAGAGAAACGGATTTTTGTCAGATTATTTAGATAAAGAAGTATAATCAAATTTGGTTCTGTGCTTCGTGGTTTCCCTGTCTTCCCCTACATCTCACTTTCCTAATGTTCAGGGTATTCCTGGAGGTGAGGCTGCTCTTCAGCGTTTGTATCAAGATGTACAGGAACCACTCCTCAATAGCGCCACAAGTTCTCTAGCTGGTAATCCTTTTGCGTCGTTGCGTCGAGGAGACGACACAACTGGTGAGTACGAATTGGATCTTGATTTTGACCTAGCCTGTTTAAGTTTTTTTTATCGTGTACAAATTTTTAGCCTCTCGAAGTCAACGAGCTGGTCAGGAAAACAGCGAAGCCCTGCCAAACCCATGGGGTGGTGGTTCTACAACAAATTCTCAGCAGAACGCACAAAGTAACAACACTGGAGGAACCGCTTCTGAAGGAGGATTAGCATGTGAGTTTTCTAGCCTCTGCTGAGTAGGTGTTAGCAGATCCAAGAAAGTTTATCACTAATTCCACTGCAGTGACGTTAGATAGAGTTAAATAGGTGCAGTCGAGTCGGTGCCCGCCTTGTTTTTTTCGCGCTGTCTTTAGACCTTTTCTTTCAGCGCTTCTCGGGTCAAGTGGTATGAACTCTTTAATGGAGCAGATGATGTCTGATCCAGCGCTTATGCAATCTCTGATGAGGCCAGAGATGATGGACTTGTTTAGACAAAGTATTTCACAGAATCCTCAAGTAATTCAGCAGGTAAATAGAACATCAGTTACCATATCATACCGTGTTAATTGAATTATCCGTAATATAGCTTGAAAAAGCATCGCAATGAAAATAAATTCACAAAAGCGGTTTTAGCGGTGCATGCGCAAAAGCGTCGGCCAACGTACCTGAAAACATCAAAGTAGCTGAAGTTTGCCTCCAGGCGTGGTTTCACCCCTTGAACACGAGTATCACATCCGCTTGGTGCGAAACCGGCTGGTGCACGCGGCTTCGCCGCCGAAACATCCCCTATCATCAAATTAGCTGACAGCTTGTTTCAGAAATAGTTCAACCTTCGGAACACAAATGTGTATCTGCATGGCGAATCACGGCCGGGTAAGGGAGATGGGGACATGCGACGGCCTGCTTGTCCCTTTTCCTCCGTGATAGTGATACTTTCCTCTGCTAAGGCTCTAGTTTAAGAGCGAGAGTGGGGATCACTACCAGAAGTGACCAGAAAGGGCACGAACTTATCTCGCCTTGACCGTCCAACTAGTAATACCATGTTTGACAGGACATCGCCAGGCGTTCGCGCTCCTGGAGCAGACTCCATAAAACACTGAAG